AAACAAAAATATTGCCTTTAAAATCACTCTAACTGGGCATAGTGGCACACATCTGTAATTACAGGTATGATTACAAGTTTGAGGTCAGCCTGAACAATCTAGTGAAGCCCACCATTAATAAATAAATAGATAAATAAATGATGAAGATCACTTTTAAGTAAGCAAGAGTAATAAAGCCTCTAATTTCATATACTTTGTAATCAACTGTCATATCTTTTAAATTTATAAAACATTTTCAGGTGTTAAACAAGAACTTTCAGACTGGGGATAGTGCTCAAGTCATAGAGTTCCTGCCTAGCTCAAGTCTCAGTTCAAACCCCAGTAAGAGGAAAAAGAAAAGAAAAAAACGTAGTTTATGAGATAGGTTGGCCTTAATCTGTATTAGAATTATAGGTTTGCTCTACCACACCCTGGTGTTGAATATTTAAGGAACTGTTCCTAACTTTCAAAGAAAAAATTTTAAGACAAAGAATTCTTTATGAAATATATTTTCTTATTTTTGAGAAGTAGAAAGATGTAAGTTCCATTTGTATTTTTAACCTAAAAATTGACCATAATTAGTATGAAAAAGTATTGCTAATTAACTATACTATGGGAAACATTTTTAATTATTCTAAACTACTTTTAATATTTACTTGCAAGTAACTATCAAAATACTGTTCTCTACCTGTTAAAAATATCATCAGTACAAAGGGTCTATGACCCTTTATACAACAAAAATTATGCATTATGAAATGCACAACCAGACTAAGGTGTGGCTCAAGGTAAGAAACTCAACAACAAAATGCTTCTAGGTTACTGTTAAGTATATACTACAAAATTCTTCATTTCTTTTTTCTTTATGGAGCAAAAATAAAGTTAATTTTTCTAGGAAAAAAAGTTGTAGAGAAGTGATAGACTCTGTAATTCTATTATTCTGTGGTATGAAATTTATCCTAAGCTATAAGATTCCTAAGAAAACAAACTATAATATAGGAAAAGGCTCAGCTTTGCTAACAGAGTTCTTTACCCACCTCTTCCCCCCAACCTTTCCCACAAAAGCTACCTCTACCAATAAAACAAAGCATCTTTTACAAGTAGCTCCCTACAGGATCCTATCTCTCCTTGAGTGCTTACCACAATCTGATTTCTGGACAGCTGACCCAAAGTTTGTTGATTTTACTGATCTTCAGAAAGCCACTGACTGGCTAGTCTTATTGGTGAACAGAGTCAAAAATCAGATGCCCCTGCCATACTTTACAGAATGAGGAGTTGGACAACACAGTTACGTTTGGTTGCACTGTGGTGAAACATATGAGGTTTCTTCTTTTTGTCTTCAACCAGCCACATTTGGGCTGAGTAGCTCTATTACATCTTCAAAAAACTGAGCTCCAGTTCTTGATGGAGACAGAGGAAGGTCATTGAGGAAGTGTTTCAGCTCAAGAGCTAATTGAAAAATGTCTTTTGATTCAGTCCTGCTTGTGGATAGAAGTCATCTTCTGGATGGAAGAGGGAGTGAGATGACCTAGAGTCTTGAATTGGTGGATCTGCAGGAACAGAAACTAAATACAGTGGAGACCTCTTAACTGAGTAACACCACGAGATGGATTTCCTGACAATGTGTCAATATAAACTAAATATATAAAGATTAAACACGTGCATTGGAAATGATCATGCACTTGTTTTTTCTATCAAATATATTTGTACAGTTTTATGAATAAATGCTTTCCTAATAACTCATTATAAAGTAATTTTCAGGAAAAAAAATGCCAGTTAAAAAAGATACACCTATTCAAACAAAAGACAGTATACTTTTTTGCCTTTGTGAATGCCATATCCTCCCTACCAGAGAACCAGTTCTCCTTTTGAGTGACTTTTTCTCAATATACACAAACTATAATCTTGGTCTTATGCTCTATAATCTCTATATTGTTAGTACTAACATACATTTTAATTTGAAAAGGATTGTTTTTTATCCTCTAAGATATAGAATTTAAGTACATAGTAACTTCAGTCTCAATCTCCCTGCTTGAAAATTTTAAGACTTGAATTAATCAAGCTTATTCCTACTAATCAGTCCAAAAGAATATAAATCATGAAGTCAGATAATCATTAAATGTGAGTAGTGACTACCTCAAAACTTTCCTCAAGCTTTAATCTGAAAAAAGCTAAGAAAGCCCACAAGAAAACTGTTAATCTAATTTAAATTTTCAACATGTACAAAGAATTTAACATTTGATTATTTGCTTGCATTTATAATTTGAATATGCAAATTTACAGTATATACTCTTATAATTATCAGATCACATGTAGTAAACTGTAATCTGTTGATCAAATACAGCCTACCACTTCTTTTGTAAGTAAAGTTTAAGCAAGATACAATACTTTTTCATTTATAGCTACTTTCATGTTGCAATGGCAGAAAGAAATAGCTACAATAGAAATATAAAGTCTAAAATACTGAGCTGGGGTGTGGTTTAAGTGGTAAAATGCCTGCTTAGCACCTGTGAGTTCCTGAGTTCAAAATTCCACAAAAACCAAACTGAAACAATAAAAAAATCCTTAAAAATATTTACAGCTTTTTGTAGAAAGTTTATAAACTCTTGATATATACAACTGTTAAGATAAATGTAATACCTTAAATTGTTTTGAATAAAACAAAACAAAAGTGAAATTAAGTCATAAGAGGACACTTCATCTGATCTTGAGAGTCAGATAAAGAAGTAGATGCTATCTTAACAGTGGGGGGAGGGGATGCTATAGAAATGACATTGTATATACAAATAAATGTCACAGCTGTGTCATGTAAATTTCATATCAAAAAAGTATTTTTAATAAGAGTATATACAGTAGCTTACAAGTTTCTACCTTTAAGTGGGCCACATTATAGTACAGTGGTTAAATATGTAAGTTACATCTTACCTAATAATGTGGTTTCTCCAAAATCTCTTAGATCATCTCAGACCCTTGTGTATATTTTCTTCTTTGCCAGCAGATGGAGACAACACCACTGAAAGTTTAAAAGACATCATTCCCTGTTTAAAGGGAGCTTGCTGGTCTGAAAAAACTGGGGAAACCCTAACCCAAAGAGTTCTTCATTTTTAAAAAGTAGAATGACTATGCCAAAACTAGAAATCCAAGGGAATGTACCCAATATTAACCATGGACAACCTCAAAAATTTAGTAAAGGTGAACTAAGTCTGTACTTGATGTAGTAAATAAGTCATAATATTAAAATGCAACCATCTCTGTATCTTCTAATAGTCAAACTTCCGGCTCACTGCTGTTGTGGCTAGATCACTTATTTTTCAGATTAAGAAAGTATATCTCAAAAATTCACAAGGAAAAAGAGTTCCTAGAATTCCACAAAAATAGATGCAGTACATACATAACTGTTAAGTAATATCATATGTACTGATACAAGCCTTTTTTCAAAAGACAACTATCAGATCCACATGAAAGAACTTTTAAAAAGAAGAGAATTAAAGGCAGAAATGGTGGAAGGAATACGAAAAAAGTTCTATTTATGGTTATACTGAAAGAAAAAAACCAAATCTACATTCCAATTTCCCTAATTCTCTGCTAAAATTACATGAACAACCCAAAAGTCATCTGTAAGAAATATCCTGAACTGGAAACCTAAGAAGTAATGTCAAAATCATTATTTACCTATATTTTTCAAATATCTTTCCTTTCCAAATTCAAAGAACTAAAAGCCTCTATTTTCAAATGCAACCTCCCCAAAAAGCCTAATTAAAAAAAAAAAAAAAACAGCAACAAAACAACCAAGTTACTGAACTAAAGAGAGAAGCATTATTTTGCTATAAAATTCAATTTCCAGTAGACTCCTGTCCTTGAAATGCACTAAACAAGAGCAACCTGTTTGGCTGAAAATACACCATTTGCCTTACAGCAGTTAACCAACCAGTTAAAAAGGAACAGAAAAATATAATCATCACCTGCTTATATATCAGGACTAAAACCAAGTTTACTAAATAAAACAGATGAAGGTAGAGTTCAGGTACTTAAAAATCTATCTAGATTAAATTAGAACTGACAATTACTGCTAACATAAATCTTCCTGATTTGTTTACTGTATGAGCTATTTAATAAAGTAGCCCTGAAGAACAAACTTCTGTTTATCTCTAAAATCTTATGATTCCATGAGAAAGCAACTAAAATCTGCTAAGAAAACTAAAACCACTAACTGCCGGTCAAGATCAGATAACTGCCTATCAAGATCAGATAAACAATCAAGGAACTTTTCATTATTAACATGATCAATGCTTTCTTTATTAATGTATTAATGCCCAGGATGGCTCCCTCTTGACAAACAAACTTTTAGACTCTTGCCTAATTTTCCAGCAAATGGCAATACTAATACAAAAACTGCCAACACAAAAATGCACTATGACGTTTTCAAAACATATATTTAACAAGTCACTCTGATGATAAGCTCTTAAACATAAAGAGGTATGGCCAACACAATCCACAATGAAATCTTGAGTCTTTTACCATTTTGCACTATCACTGTTCACCACCATATATGAGAATGTTTATACCCAATTTTTTCACATAAAGCAATAATTAGAAGAGTGTCTGGAATTTCTGTGGTTAACATTAAGTATGTCCAACAAACTAACTTTACAGATAACTCCTATAGGAAATAAAAGTGACCAACAAGGAATGAGTTTGTTTGTTTTTTAAATGAATTGGCTTTATGAAAAAAACACCAGATGTTAACTTGGCAAGTTCCTCTTGGGGGATCTATGTCAGTGCTTCTGCCTCCACCTGCTGGCAAAGATTATGAAAGTAGCTGATATCACTAGGTAAAAAAATCAGGGGGGTTTTGGTAATAAATGAATGTTCTTTTATGTAACTAACTAGCACAATGCTACTTTGTGTTACAGACTATTAAAATACTGGTGAAATCCATTAGAAAGTCTACAGAAAAACACACTGAACACCAATGTGTTCAATGACTAATAGGCCAAATATCAAATTTAAAAAAATTTAATTACCTGATAAATAACATCTTGGAAAAGGACTGGAAAGGTAAGTGCTGCATCTTCTAGCTCATTTAGACTACAGTGCACTAGTGTTTCATCCTTAAAAAAATAAAAAAATTAAATCAAGACATTAAGTTAACCTTTAAGTCTCTTGTTTACACAGAAACCCATACATATTTTTTGGGGAGAGGAGAGGGTGTCTTTAAGAAATGGCCTTGCTATATGGCCCCATGCAGCCTCCAACTCACAATCCTGCCTTTGCCTCTCAAATGCTGAGATTACAAACATACAAGCACTTGAAATAATTTTAAGTGGTCATGATCACCAAAAACATTAATTTTAAAAAGTACTCATTCTTTTTTTTTGGGTCCGGTCGTAGGGCCTGAACTCTGGGCCTGGGCGCTGTCCCTCGGCTCTTCAGCTCAAGGCTAGCACTCTACCACTTGAGCCACAGCGCCGTTTCTGGCATTTTTCTGCTTATGTGGTGCTGAGGAATCGAACCCAGGGCCTCAGGCATGCAAGGCAAGCGCTCTACCACTGAGCCACCTTCCCAGCCCCTAAAACATACTCATTCTTACATAGAATTTTAAAATGCTATACGTGGCATAGCAATTTAGGATAGGATTTTCTGAAGTCAATGATTCTCAAGTATAGTTCCTAAACCAAAAAACATCACCAGAATTATCTGGGAAGTATTTGGAAATGCAAATAAAATTCTCTAGCTACAATCTGAATGAGTCACTCAATAAGGGTTGCAGTTCAGCAATCTTTACTAACCTATTGTTCTAACTGATACAGACTCCAGATTGAGAAATACTGCTCTTAGTTTTGCAGCTGCCCAAACCACATGCATAATATTTCCCCTTCCTCCCTCTCTTCCTTTTTGCGGTAGCTCAGACTGGCCATACACTTGTAATACTGTTACCTCAACTTCCCAAGCGCTGTGATAACAGTCATGCACCACCATGCCTGGCTTTATTTTCTGTTAGTGGCATACCGGACTACACATTTCAATTCTTTCCTAGAACTGAATCATACCTAATTCTACTACTACTTCTTCAGCTTATTTTTACCTATTTCCATAAAATTACTTCTCTTCACATTAGACTCAAAATAATTTGGTCACAGGTTAATATCATGACCACTTCAACTCCTAATACCAAAATGGAGCAAAAATCACTTTCATTTTATCTTCTACTTACATATCAAATCTAAATTAATCATCAGTTCTGAAATTTCTTTCTCTTTTAAATAATTCCTTTTAGGGGTAGGAGAGCAGTACTGGGGACTGAAATCAGGACCTTGTGCTTTTGCAAGTTAGGGCTTGAAGGCATGGTTTAAGTGAGTGTGCTCAACTCTACCAGTTGAGACTGCCCCTACACCCTTCTTCCTCTACTGGTTTTTCAAATAGTGTCTTGCATTTTGCCCAGACTGGCCTGGATCACAATCCTACAGTTTATGCTTCTTTCCTAAGCTGGATGATAGGGTCTACCACACCCTGCTTACTGGATGGGGGCTAACATTTTGTTTGAGCTATACCAGTCATAAGTAGAATTGTAGTCCAGTCTGGCCCAGGGGGAAAAGTATGAGTCCTATAAGAAGAAATAATGAAATCTCCCCCTAAAAAAGAGGGATTGGAGGCATGGCTCAGGTGGTACAGTAAAAGCACAGATAAAGAATTTGAAACCCCGCCAGGCGCGCTAGTGGCTCACACCTGTAATCCTAGCTACTCAGGAGGCTGAGATCTGAGGATCGAAGTTCAAAGCCAGCCTGGGCAGGAAAGTCCTTGAGACTCTTATCTCCAATAAATTACTAGAAAACCCAAAGTGGTGCTGTGGCTCAAGCGGAAGAGTGCTCGCCTTGAGCTGAAGAACGCAGGGACAGCGCCCAGGCCCAGAGTTCAAGCCCCACGACCAAGAAAAACAAAAACAAGAATTTGAATCCCAGTCTCGGACAAAAAAAAAAAAAAAAAAAAAAAAAAGGACTTGACAGCTTTGAGTGGTAGAGTAGATGACTAGTAAGCACAAGGCACAGAGTTCAAACCTAAAACAAACAAGTAAAACAACAAACTTTTTCCTTAAGATAAATTTTCTGAGAAATAAATTACATCTTTAAATATAGGACAGTAGACATCATTTTTGCTAATATGAAATTATAAGTAGATGATAAATGTGGATAGCAAAAGATTTGAGACATTCAGTTTTCAAAGCTCTCCTGTGACTCAAGGATATATAAATTTCATAATGAAATATAGAAATTTTTTCAGGCAAGGGCCTTGCTTATTGTCCAGGCTGGCCTTGAACTCCTGGACTCAAGCTATCCTCCTACCTCAGCTTCTCCAGAAGCTTAGAAAACAGCTATGGACAGTGACATGTATGTTAGACTCTTAAAATCGTATCAAGAGAGCATACTGAAAAACTTTAATAGTGATAAGAAACTTTGCTGTGGGCACCAGTGGCTCACGCCTGTAATCCTAGCTACTCAGGAGGCTGAGATCTGCGGTTCAAAGCCAGCCGGGGGCAGGAAAGTCTGTGAGACTCTTATCTACAATAAACCACTAGAAAACCCGAAGTGGCACTGTGGCTCAAGTGGTAGAGTGCTTGCCTTGAGCTGAAGAGCACAAGGACAGTGCCCAAGCCAAGAGTTCAAGCCCCACAATCGGAAAAAAAAGAAAAAAAAAAAAAAAGAAAGAAACTTTGTTTTTGACTCTATTAATAAAAAAAAAAATCTAAAATTTAGGAATGATTCAAATTAAATTAGAGATTCTTGGGAAGGAAATAAAATATCGTAAGCTGGAAATATAGCTCAACTTGCTAGGCAAGCACTGGAATTTAGTACACGGCCCTAAATTTGATCTTTATCATCATAACAATCACAACAGTCTCAAGAATATAGGGAAGAATGGGTACCGTGGCACATGCCTGAAAGCCTAGCTACATGGTAGGCACAGGTAGGAAGATCACAGTCCAAGACTAGCCCAAACAAGAAGCATGACACTATCTGAAAAATAACTAAAGCAGAGTTGGAGGCATAGCTTAAGTGAGAGTGCCTGCCTAGCAAGTGTGCGGCCCCCCCAAAAAAAGAAAAGAAAGATGCAAACAAACAAAAGAAAGCAAAGAAGGGTTTTGATGTGGCTCAAGTGGCAGAGTGCCTACCTAAAAAGCATAAGGCCCTAATTACAATCCCCAGTACTGCCAAAAAAGTGGTAAGAATATAGAGAGGAAAACTCCTTTAAATCTAATTCTTAGAAGGCAAAATCCAATCAAACTAGGGATCCTAGCTTAAGACTATAAAAACATTTCAGAATACTCAGAGAGCATATTATAGTGTGATGGCTACTCATCATTTGCTTTCTTTTAGGCATTTTAGACTGTTAAAAAACAATTTAACTTCTTTTTTCTCTCTGGCTCTGAAGGTAATATGCTTACCAAGTCTAAAACTAGGGAGAATTCTGGTGTGCTTCTTGTTTTCAATGGAAGAGCAGGTTTCCTGTTGAGTTGTTCTTCTGTCAGTGGTGGAACGTGTTTGATGAAATAATACCTGTTAAGTGAAATTTTAAGAAAATTTCAACGTATCTCCTTTTGTTAAACTCAAACATATTACTAAATTCAGCCCATTAAAAAAATTGTTAATTAGCCCCACTATGGTACCTATATACAACGGAATATTATGCAGCCATTAGAAAGGAGGCATCTGCAGGGAAATGGATAGAACTAGAAAAAATCATGTTGATTTTTTCTGATACAACACAGTAAACAAGACTCGAGAAACAAAAGACCTCCACTCATCTGGTCGTATCATTACTAAATGACCCCATGCTGCTGACCACATATATGGTATTTATGTGCACATCAGAGGGAAACTAGGAGGAGCGCACAGAAAGAGGGGAACAACAGCGGAACCCATCAGCTGCATTGATCAAAATGAACTACGCAACCCAATGAAAGCAATGGGAGGGAGGGAATGAGAGGGAAAGAGAACAGCTGACACTAGCAAAAGGAAAGAAATGCACATATCACCTGATGTGGAAGAAATAACTGTGTTGTGAAAGCTCATAGAGAATTCACAAACTTTATAAACCACAATAAAGACAATTTTCCCCATGGGGGACAAAAAAACTACTATTCCTAAGTGACTGAGTATTTTAACTCTAAACACAGTACATGAAATCAAGATAAAAAAAATTGTTAATTAAGTAAAGTACATTTAACCCAGCAAAGAAAGCTTATAAAACAGAAGTGAAAATATACACCTGAGTATCTCCGTAACTCAGTATTAAAAGCATTCACCCCTCAAGGTTAGAGATTCCTCATAAGAGATTTTCCTCTTTTACTTGTGACAAACCCATCAAGGTAAATGTAATCCTAAAATGAAAATGCATTTAATAGATCTAATCTGCCAAAATCAACGCTTAGAAAGAATAACTAGTGCGGAGTACTAGTTGTTTACCCTTATGATCACATGGTTGACTGGGAACTGCAGCTCACTGCCCAGCAGTGTGGGAGGCACCCTATATGTATCCTGCTAACCCCCCAGAAGGGGAGAGGAGGAAGAGGTTTGGAGGTGCTGAGGAGGATCAAAATTCAATGCATATCTTTTTTGGACCATTGAAAAGTTGAAAAATTATTAAGGAAAGATGAATTTCATCTATTTATACCTAACACTGTCTATATTTGAAAGAAGGCTGAAGATGAACTGATGACTGGCTGGTTCTATGTCCATGCCATGAAATAAAACTTTCAATGAAAAAAGAAACAAAACAAAACAGAAAATCAACTCACGGGTCAAATACTTCCCAGTCTTCTTCATATGTGGCCTCTGCATGGGCTGATGAATAACCACTCTCTGGAGTAACTGGTGCTATTAAATGAAGTGAAAAAGAAAATGTTACTTTTTACTCACTGAATTATTCATTTTTATTGCTTCTATGCAAGACTTTTCCCAAGGCCCTGTGTATTTTAGCTTAAAGATGCAACTAATTCAGAAAGTTTTCAAAAGCCAATTTAGTAACATATAGCTGTAACTGTAAAAATTTACTATCAAAGACAAACTGGCAAGGGCTGGGAGGGTGGCTCAGTGGTAGAGTGCTTGCCTTGCACGCATGAGGCCCTGGGTTCGATTCCTCAGCACCACATAAGCAAAAAGAAAAAAGCCAGAAGTGGCGCTGTAGCTCAAGTGGTAGAGTGCTAGCCTTGAGCTGAAGAGCTGAGGGACAGCACCCAGGCCCAGCATTCAGGCCCCATGACCGGACCTCCCAAAAAAAAGACAAACTGACAAGCTACAACATGGTTAGTAGAATTAAGATCCCATCAACTAAGTTAATCTCTCCCTATCAACTTGTGTTTAGAAAATAATGTTGGGGTCCGGTGCTGGTAGCTCTTACCTGTAATCCTAGCTACTCAGGAGGCTGAGATCTGAGGACTGCAGTTCAAAGCCAGCCTGGGCAGGACAGTCTTTGAATCCCTTATCTCTAGTGAACCACCAGAAAACTGGAAGTGGCGCTATGGCACAAGAGGTAGAGCACTAGCCTTGAGCTGAAGAGCTGAGGGACAGCACCCAGGCCCAGAGTTCAAGCCCCATAATCGACAATAACAACAACAACAATAATGATGATGATGTTGGGGGAGAGGGGATAAAACCGAATAAAATTAAGTTTCTGTGGTTTGTTGTTGTTTTAGTAGTACTGTGATTGCACCCAGGGACTCAAGATTGCCAGATAGGCACTCTTCCTACTGAGCTACCTCTCAAATCTGCAAAATTCAACTTCAAACTGAGTATATTTGATAACCATAAAATTTCATGTTGCTCTGGTAACAGTAATAACATTACAAAGTAGTTACTTAAGCAGTCAATAAAAGGCATACTGATGACAAGAGATACAGTATTAAGTTTTGAGATCTGTGATACTGTTTTGTTTTTCAGTCCTAGGTCTTGAACTCTGGGCCTGGGTGCTGTCCCTGAGCTCTTCAGCTCAAAGCTAAGCTCTACCACTTGAGCTACAGCACTACTTCCAGCTTTTTCTGTTTATATGGTACTGAGGAATCAAACCCAGAGTCTCATGCACTCTACCACTGAGCCACCTTCCAAGCCCCTGTGATACTGTTTTAAGAAGTTCGTTTGTAACAACAGGAATGGAACTAGACGAAGATCATTATATTGAAGATCATTATGTTAAGTAAAAGAAGTCAGGCACAGAAAAACAACTTTATCATCCCACTTGCATGGCATCTAAAAAAAAAAGTTAATCTCATAGAAATTGAGGGTAGAATGGTTACTAGAAGCTGAGGGAGGGGGTTGATCAATAGGTACTAAATTTTGGTGTGCTATTGCTTGGCAGGGTGCTTACCAATAACAATACATACTATACTTTTCAAAAAGTTAGAGGAAAGGATTCTGAATATTTCATTAAGAAATGACACTTGAGCTGTACTGGTGGTTCACATCTGTAATCCTAGCTACTCAGGTGACTGAGATCTGAGGACTGTGACTCAAAGCCAGGCTGGGCAGGAAAGTCTGTGACACACTTATCTCCAATAAACCATCAGAAAACAAGAAGTTGATCTGTGGCTTAAAGTGGTAGAGTGCTAGCCTTGAGCAAAAGAGCTCAGGGACAGGGCCCAGGCTCAACTGATACACACAAAAAAAGAAATGATACTTGAAAAGATTAAAAAAAAAACCTTTAACCTGAAGTAAGAATTAAACAATGTACACAATTACATGGCATACCTCATTAATATGTATATGAGAGGGGGTCTTCTTATGTAACTTAAGACTACATACAAACACAACCTGTAGCCTATGCTGGCCTCAACCTCCTGAGGAGTGGAATACCATACCTTGCTGTTTCTGAGACAAAAATCTTACTATATATTTCAAGCTGGCCAGCAACTCCCAATCTCCATGCCTCATCAGCCTTCCAAGTACAGGAATATGTATAATTTTTATGATTTTATGTATTATAGTTTTTTTTTAAAAAGAAGTCCATAAACTCAAAGTTTTAATAAACTGTATTTATGCTTTTCTAGAAATCGCAAATCTATTTATGATCTTAAAAAGGCTGCTATATATACAAATCAGTCTTAGAACTTATTTTCCTTCTATCATACAACAACTTAAAAATACTCAAGAAGCAATTCTATTTCCTATGCCACATAGTTCATTCTGTTTGAGATACGATTGTGTTGTTTGATAAAACATTAGAGATATTATGCTGAGAATGTTTTTTTGTGTGTGCATGAGTACTGGGGCTTAACCTTTTTGCTTGGCTTATTTTGCTCATGGCTGGCACTCTACCACTTGAGCCACACCTGAATTCCAATGTTGAAAACTTTCAAAGAAAAATTACTATAAAAAAATTGAAGGAGGGCTGGGAAGGTGGATCAGTGGTAGAATGCTCGCTTTGCATGCATGAGGCCCTGGGTTCGATTCCTCAGCACCACATAAGGAGAAAAAGCCAGAAGTGGTGCCCAGAGTTCAGGCACCACGACTAACCAAAAAAGAAAAAAAGTTGCTGTGGTCCTACAGAAATGTAATGTTGGTGAACAAAGTTATTATGGTGATGACAAACTCACTACAGTGCATAAAAACATCATGGTATTTATATCCAATGAATGACATCAGATGTAAAACAGAATTGTTTACTTCATCTGTGAAAATTTAGATATATAATCAGTGAAAGATGATGGAAGATAAATCTTTCAACCAGCTTACTGTTTCAAATTCCTATTAATCTCAGAGAAAGGATATTTGCTGAGCCCCTAGATACCAAGTATTTTTCATGTTTCACATACTTACCACTCAAAACCCTGCATTATTATTGCCTTGTCTCAGGCTGGCTTAGAACTCTCAATACCCCTGGCCTCCCTGAGTGCGGAGATAACATGTATGCCACCAAGCCCAGCTATTTATTTATTCTGAGCTGTTTATTATTTTTGTCTCATTTTACTCATTTTACGGCAGTATAGAGGCTTGAACTCAGAATCTCAAGCTCTTATTCAGCTGGCTGAATAAGGGCTGCTGCTCTATCACCTGAGTCTTGCCTCAAATCACCACTTGGCTGGTTAACTGGAGATAGTCTTACAGACTTTTCTGTCTAGGCTTCAAATGGTGCTCCTCCAGGTCTCAGCCTCTTGAATAGGTAGGATTACAAGGGTGAGCCATCAGTGCCCAACTAAGCTACTGATTTGTGAAATGGGGTCTGCTGTGTTGCCTGAGCTTGTGATCCTCAGCCTTAGGCATGCTCCACTGGGCCAAGCTTGTTACCATTTTAAAGCTAAAAAAATCTGTTTCAAACTTCTCAAGAGCATAAGTAAGTTGTCCAACGTCAGAAGGCCAAAGAATAGGATAGTTAAGCTTTCTATCTTATTATCTATGGCTCTTCAGAGTTTAAAAAAAAAAAAAGTAGTATTTTGGTCATTTCTATTTTTTAAAATCAGTCTTATCTCTATTCTATCTTCTCATATCATCCCAGAGTAACTACATCAAAGTAACTGCTTCACAGAATAAACTGTTATAAAGTAATTTTTATAATTTATCTGTAATAGCACTATCATATTTAAGGTTTTCCCATACTTGATATTTTATCTAGATCATGAACTCTTCAGAATCAAGGAGCATATATCATCTTTATCAACAGTTGCCATCACAAAATATAAATGTTCAAGCTGGGCGCGGTGGCTCACACCTAAAATCCTAGCTACTCAGGAGGCTGAGATCTGAGGGTCGCAGATCAAAGCCAGCCCAGGCAGGAAAGTCCATGAGACTCTTATCTCCAATAAACCACGAGAAAACCATAAGTGGTGCTGTAGCTCAAGCGGTAGATCGCTCGCCTTGAGCTGAAGAGCGCAGAGACAGCGCCCAAGCCCAGAGTTCAAGTCCCACGACCGACAAAAAATAAAAAATAAATGTTCACAAGTATTAGTGAATATGAAGCATAACATTATAGATAGGAATCTTTTATTAGATAAATTTAAAATATATGGATTCCCAGTATGCTGCTGCTTTTCTCTTTACATTGTTATTAATGACCTGTACCATACAAGTTTCTTAATTGTTTCTTTTAAATGTTTTGTTTCAGTGTTGTTTTCAAAGTTTCTCCATTATAGTCAAAATTATAGTCAAAAGAAGTAGTCTACTTCTTTACATTAAAGCACATTTAATCAATACACATTTTCTGGGTCTCTCAAACACCTGACATAACAGAAATAGAAAACAAATTAAGATAAAATATCTACAGTTAGAGGTGTGGTTCAGGTAGTAAGAGTAACAGCCAATGAGCAAAAGCAAGAATCAGATAGTAAGTTTGACCCCTAGGTCTGTACCAGATAGCTATCCTCAGATTTGTTGTTGTTTGTTTTTTTGGTTGGTCATGGGGCTTGAACTTGGCCTGGGCACTGCTCCTGAGCCTCTGAGGTCAAAACTAGCACTCTACCACTTTGAGCCACAGCTCTACTTCCTCTCAGTTTTTTTTTTTTGGTTGGTCATAGGGCTTGAACTCTGGGCCTGGGCGCTGTCCCTGCGCTCTTCAGCTCAAGGTGAGAGCGCTACCACTTGAGCCACAGCAACACATCCAGTTTTCTAGTGGTTTACTGGAGATAAGAGTCTCATGGACTTTCCCGCCCAGGCTGGCTTTGAACCGCCATCCTCAGATCTCAGCCTCCTGAGTAGCTAGGATTACAGCATGAGCCACCTGCGCTCAGCTTTCTCTCAGTTTTATTTCACGTTTAAGAATAGTTCATACAACCTGTGGGTGGGAATGGAAGAGAAAAGCTGGGTGAACGGGTGTCCAAAAAGAAATGTACTCTTCACCTGACTTATGTAACTAACACCTCTGAACATCACCTTTATAAAACAATAAAAAATTAAAATTAAAATAGTTTAAAAGTTTCATGCTACATCTCTTATGAATTTCCACCACAGTTCTCAAAGGTAATATATTCTTGTTCTCTTTTTTTTCCTGTATTTCAATGGCAACTGACTTGGGAATAAACAATTACACCAGGTCTTTGTAACATTCCAGAGTTAGGCTGTATAACTAAGGTAACAGAAGTCCTTTAGGCCCTAGGCATGTCATTTATGAAATAAGTCTAAAGTTATGAGATGCCTGTATCTAGATAGAGAGCTCAGATATAAAAGTCTAAGACTAGTGTACATATTGGCTTTGGGATAAAGTTCTAGTTCCAATTTTAATTTTTCTTAACCTCAAAGAAGAAATAATTTTGCATTTAATCTTCCCTTTTAAGAGAGAAAAAATTCTGTATTTTTATAAATGTTCACAAAGATGTATTAAAAACAGAAATTTTCTTCACCTGTAAGGGGTGGGATATCACGGTTAACTGTTTCATCTGCTTCTTCTAAACCATTATTCATTGATGGCCTCACTTGAACTGCCTGATTTGAGTAAGCTGTTCCATTAGTTGATGTAGTAGTACTGGTAGTGATCTCATCCACTTGTTCCATGTCAAGCTGTTTTACTATCTCTTCAGCTTCCACAGCTTGCCCTGGGGAATCTGATCCTGATGTTCCTGAAATCAAATTCAGCATATTATCAGTCATTTAGAAAAACTAGAGGCAATCATCACTGTAAAACTTATTTACTAGACTAATAATTCATAAGAGCATAGCTGAGAATTCAACTGTTTAGTGAGGTTTTTTTTTTAGGCATTTCAATGAGTAATAAAAACTATTATAGAAGTATTTATAAGTTTTTCCTTAAGCTTTTGGCTGTTTAGAATTAATTTATGCAGTATATCTATTTACTTTTGGTTGTATAAGTTGAACTCAGGGCCTCTTACATACTAAGCACCCTTGAGCCATGCCTAAATTTTAATTTTTAGTTATTGAATAGAGCCTCATGTTTATGTTTGGACTGCCCTAGACCACAATTTTCCTATTTACTCTTCCCACATAAGCTGGGTTGACCATCCACAGTCACCCATTGGCTGAGATGAGTATCACTAACTTCTTTTCTGGGCTGGCCTTGAAGTATAAGCCTCTAGATCTCTGCTTCCCTAATAAATAGAATTACAGGTGTGAGCCACTGTGCCTGGCTTGTAGTCAAATAACAGCAATTCAGAACTTCTAGTCATAAACCAAATATCAATTACTAGTAAGCATTATATAATAGGCATTTATATATGTCCATTATCCTCAGCTTGTGATTCTCCCAATCCAAACACTAAGCATTCTAGGCATTGTGGAAAATGTAAATTTTCAAACAGAAGTAGTTATCTAAGAATAAACTAAATATTCCCTTTTTATTAGAAGACACAGAAGCAAGTACAAGTTGCTCACACCTATCATCCTGGCTACTCAAGAGGTAGAGGTTTAAAAAAAAGATCACAGTTCTAGGCCAGCCCCAAATAGAAAGTTGACCTGCTGGGCACCGTGGCATATACCTATCATCCCAGCTAAATGGGAGGCATAAACAGCAGGATCTCAGGCTACCACATGAACCACAGTTCCACTTCTTGCATTTTGCTGCTTAACTGTACATAAGAGTCTCATGGATTTCTCTACGCAGGCTGAACAGCAATCCTCAGATCTTTGCTTCCTGAGTAGCTAGGATTACAGGTACGAGCCACTGGTGCCTAGCAGGATAATTTTTAGTGTGTTTATAATCTAACTCTAATCTAATTTGAATTAATTACTTTTCTGTATCAAAAATCCCTTTGGAAGCCAGGTGCCAGTGGCTTACGCCTGTAATCCTAGCTACTCAGGAGGCTGAGATCTGAGGATCGTGGTTCAAAGCCATCTCAGGCAGGAAAAGCCATGAAACTCTCTCCAATTAACCACCAGAAAAGCTTATGTGGTGCTGTGGCTCACGCCGTAGAGCACTTGCCTTGAGCTGAAGAGCACAGGGCCAGCACCCAAGCCCAGAGTTCAAGCCCCACAACCAACAAAAAAAGAAGAAAAAAAATCCCTTTGGAGGAAAAAAATAACCAAATGTTAAAAAAAAAAAAAAAAAAAAAGCAAAAAACCAACAACTGCTATAATCATCATATGGAGCTGGTGTCTGTGCCTCATATCTATAAATCCTAGCTACTCAGGAGGTTAACATTAGAGGATTGAGATTTGAAGCCATTAAATCCAGCCGAGGCAGAAAAATCCACGAGATTCTTTCTCTAATAATCCAGAAAAAAGCTAGGTAGGAGGCTTGGCTCAAGTGCTGAGTGCCACGCATATACTAGTAAGGCAATCAAGAGCATGAGGCCCCAAGTTTAAGCCCCAGGTACAAGAGAAAAAAAAGTCATATGGTGGGGCTGGGAAGGTGGCTCAGTGGTAGAGCGCTTGCCTTGCATGCCTGAGGCCCTGGGTTCGATTTCTCAGCACCACATAAGCAAAAAGAAAAAAGGCGGAAGTGGCGCTGTGGCTCAAGTGGTAGAGTGCTAGCCTTGAGCTGAAGAGCTGAGGGACAGCGCCCAGGCCCAGAGTTTGGGCCCCACGAACGGACCCAAAAAAAAAAAGTCACATGGCTTGAATCAAAGATTTTCAATGAATTCCATTTTAATGACCCATAATATTCAAAATGCTTCATCCCAACACACTAAAAAGGTCCCTCTAGGCCAAAGTCTATCAATTAGTTTTCAGAAAATGGAAGCTGAGTTCACAATAACAGGATTAAACATAACTTAAAATATTTTAGTTATTAAAAAAGTACTTTCAATGAACTACATATTTTATTAAGGTTGTAAATAAATACAAGAAGTAGATGAAATACACCAGTAACATATAAAGGATATATTTTTTAAATCGCTAATTATGGCTGCTGCTACTTACTATATAAAAAAGATTTATACACTTACCATTTTTATTTGCTGGTGAAAAAAAGTTGAAGACAGGAGAAAATATGGTCCCCAACAATGTAGTCCTTGGAGGACTTCCAGAGGAAGGATTATCTTCCAATTTCCCATTTTGTTTTACATGTTGATTTGTCATTTCATAACTACCAGCTTCTAAGAAACAAAAGAAAAAAATCATTATCTTGAAAACAATGATTTTCAGATACAAGCTAGAGTTAATTTAAAAACAACTTACTTCATTAAGCAGACTAATGCTAATATTCAAGAATGTTTACTAAAAAATTCTGAGGTAAGTCACTTATAAATTTGGGGATCTTAATGGGTCTATAATGGTTTACACATGCTAATATTTACTGAGATTTTCAAAGTAAATTTTAAATCTAGAATTATATAGACAGAAACTTCAGATCAACATGGCACAACAGAATATGAAGATAATTCTTTGTAAGGAAAGAAAGAAATTAACAAGACCACAAATATTGGGTTTTGTTCACATTTCTAGAAGCTGCCTACTTCAAAAATCTTCCCACATACCTATCACTAATAAATTACAGCGAAGTGAAATAAAGGCAATAAATTCTACTATGAAGCAGAAAACTGTACACAGTCATGTCAACATTTACTTAGATGGGCTGAAGACTACCTTAATGGTACAGCACTTGCTAAGCACATACAAATCCCAAGGTTAGATCCACAACTCCACCAAAAAACAAAGGTAACATTTCAGGGCTAGTGGTAAAGCCCAGGACAAGCTTATTATGTACAAGGTACATGTAATATGTACAAACTCAGTATATACAAGGTAATGAGCTCTTTTCCAAGCACCACCCCAAACAATAAAAAAAATTGTTCACAGGTATTGCCCTATTTCAGTGTGCTACAAAGATTAACAAGTTTTTGTTTTTGTTTTTTTTTGGGTCCGGTCATGGTGCCTGAACTCGGCCTGGGCGCTGTCCCTCAGCTCTTCAGCTCAAGGCTAGTGCTCTACCACTTGAGCCACAGTGCCACTTCCGGCTTTTTTCTTCTGCTTATGTGGTGCTGAGGAATCGAACCCAGGGCCTCATGCATGCAAGGCAAGTGCTCTACCACTGAGCCATCTTCCCAGCCCCCAACAAGTTGTTTTTTAAATAGAAAAAAAAATCAAATATTTTGGAAATATAAAGTCAAACATTGTTTTTAACTTCCCTTTGATCCTCAACAACTTTTACTTTTACCGCATTTCTTAAAATGCTTATTTCTCTCTTTTCTGTTCCTTTTTCTAGATACTAGTCACTTTAGATAACATCATACTGCACTGGGGAGCTAAGGAAGAAGTTATTACTGTTGTGTTTAGAGACCTTTGGTTAAAAAAGAACTCCATGTTCTCTAAAAGTTTTGTTCTTTAAAGCTTTGTCTGCTTGTCTTTAATGTTTTTCCCTTCCATTTTGACTTTGAGGAGATTTACAGCTAAACAATAAATTACTGATAGGATTTATCAACATCTAGTACTAGTGGCATTTATGCCTGGTAATTCTTAGCTGTTCTATGTTGCTCACTGCAGGATACTTAGTAGCATCCCTGTCACATTCTTGGCTTGATATTTATTCTAACCTCTCCACAGGATGTGACAACTAAAGAGATCTAGACATAAACTACTAACCAGTGGGAACATATCACTTGTACTTAAGAACTACTGACCTAAAATAACATGACCCAGAAATAAACTTTTGTACACATTTCAATTAAGTTGGCACAATTACTGCTGCTTTAGGAAATGAGCCTATTAAGAGATAAAATGTTGCTCTATACCAATTCTTTCTTTTTTGTGCCAATCCTGGGGCTTGATCCCCCTGAACAAATTTTTTTGTTCAAGGCTAGTACTTAACCACCTGAGCTACAATGCCACTTCCAGCCTTTTCTGAGTAGTTTGTTGTAGATAAGAGTCTCACAGACTTTCCTGCCCAGGCTGGCTTTGGACTGTGATCCTCAGATCTCAGCCTCCTGAGTAGCTAGGTTTACAGGCCTGAGCCACCAGTCTCTAGCATCAATTCTACTTTTGATGCTGGAAATCATAATACAATGTGCAACCCAGAGCTTACAAATGGCTAGGCAAGGGCTCAACCACTGACATATACCTTAAGCCTCAATCTATACACACTTTTATAATGAAACATGTAAGTCTTGTTTGTAAGTCTTTATTTGAATACATTAAAAAAATTTCTTTTGGTGCTGGTGCCAAGGCTTAACTCAGGGCCTCAAGCTGTTGGTTGGCTTGCTTGCTCACAGCTATACCATGTGAACCACAACTCTAGTCCAAGTATTTTGCTGGTTATTTGGAGATAAGCAGCTCATTCTTTTCTGCCCATACTTGTTTCAAAACACAATCCTCTAGGTTTTAGCCTCTTAAGTAGCTAAGATTGATTATAAGCATGAGCCATCAGCACTCAGCAAAGTACACTTTTTAAAAAAGAAGACTAATTTTTATTTAATTTTTGTTATTAACACAACATACATTACAAAAGGAAGTAAAAGGTGCTCAAAGTAAAATTTTTGGCTTTTTTTTTTTCTGTAACCTGAGTGGTGAGAAATCTCTGCTTACACTTAAAAAACACAATATCTAAATATGAACAAACCTCCATTTACTTGACTTTTCCGTCTTACTCGAGATAACTGTTTATTAGGCTTTTCTCCTGCTCTTGGTGTTGATGTGATCAAATTGTTATCTATATCACGTTCAATTCTACTCCGTTTCGAAGGGTTTTCTCTTTCTTCCTTAAAATATAATGAAAAAACATGCACTGAGTACAATCATTCTGACATACAAATTACATTTCTTTTTCTTTCTTCTTTCTCTCCTTTCTTTCTTTCTTTCTCTTTTCTTTTTTGCTGGTTGTAGGGCTTGAATTCAGTTCCTGGGTGCTATCCCTAAGCCTCTTTGTGCTCAAGGCTAGCACTCTATCACTTGAGTCACAGTGCCACTTCCAGTTGTTTTTTGGTTTTTTTTTTTGCTGGTCGTGGTGCCTGAACTCCGGGGCTGGGCACTGTCCTTCAGCTCTTCAGCTCAAGGCTAGTGCTCTACCACTTGAGCCACAGGGCCACATCTAACCTTTTCTGCTTATATGGTGCTGAGGAATGGAATCCAGGGTCTCATGCACGGCAAGCACTCTACCACTGAGCCACCTTCCCAGCCCCAACTTCCAGTGTTTGATCAGTTAATTGGAGATAAGAGTCTCACAGGGACTTTCTGCCTAGGCTGGTTTTGAACTGCGATCCTCAGATCTCAGCCTCCTGAGTAGCTAGGACTACAGGTATGAGCCACCAGTGCCTGGCCAAATTACATTTCTTAAGTGGTAAAATACATTTTTAATATATTTTTTATCTAAATACATTTTAAATATACTTTTCTCTGGTTTTTATAATATAGAAAATCAAAATGTATTAATATCAGAGTAGTTTAAAAAACAGAAAAGTGTTTAAGTACTCTTTACAAGAATTGATGTAGTTACTGCACAAAAATATAATTACAGCATCCCCACAATTCAGACTCTTTCTTCCTAAATTTTCCATACTACAAAAATACTGAATTGGATAATGTACTCTCATTTTTTGGACATTTCTCCCTAATAGAACTTTTCTAAAGAACAGAGACTATTTCTTCCTTGAGTACCCAGTGTAAAGAGGAAGCCCTACTGGATGAGTTGGCATTTACATATTATCAAAATATAAGGTCTGCCACTGCCACACCCTACTGCCAGTTTCAATTATTTAGATCCCCAAATTAATACCAAAGAGTCCACCTCTTAATAAAGATCTCTGTTTGCTGCCTTATTTGGATCAGTCCATATGATCCATTTATACTAGTCTTGCAATATGATTGACTAAAACAACAAACTTCCAGGCTTTAGCTTGATTTGTTTTTCTCCACTAATACAACTATTTTTCTTATTGTAAAAGACTCCATCCATTGCATGAGTCATTTTTTCCATTACTGTAATATTTGTCCTACAATGAATTACTTGTTGACTTAAGGAGACTACTTAAATCATTTAATAAGAATTACATATCCAAATCTGTGTATTTAATTTATACATATCAACATTCTTACTCAACAGGAGTAATTTTTCCTCTTTTTGCTTTGAATAACTAATAATATTAGCTAGAACATATTTTTTTAAAGTTGACTATTATTAGATTTTTGTTTGTTTGTTTTTTGCCAGTCCTGGGGCTTGTGAACACAGGGCCTGGGCGCTGTCCCTGAGCTTCTTTTTTGCTCAAGGCTAGTACTCTACCACTTGAGCTTTGCCCAGGCTCTGAAAAAATAAGTAAATAAGCCGTTCAGTATACTAAGCACAGCCTCCCCCTTGAAGAAGGTTATTAGTATGGCTGCTATACCACAAATTAGCTGTAACAAACATTACTTATTATTTCTAAAACTCCTGTATGCTGAAAACCCTAAAATAGCAATGCTTATGAAAAAAATAGGCCCAGCAAAACCTATGAAGGACATGTTGAGGGAGACTATTCAATGCTCCTGCAACTCAGTAACCATAGCACTAATGCAAACATGACCTCCAAGATAACTTGGATATCCCAGACTACTTTAAAAACTTCAAAGCTGGGGCTGGGAAGGTGGCTCAGTGGTAGAGTGCTTGCCTTGCATATGATTCCTCAACACCACATAAGCAAGAAAAAAAAAAAGCCTGAAGTGGCGCTGTGGCTCAAGTGGTAGCGCACTAGCCTTGAGCTGAAGAGCTGAGGGACAGCACTCAGGCCCAGAGTTCAGGCCCCATGACCAGACCCCCCCACCCCAAAAAAAAACAACAAAAAAAAACTTCAAAGCTGTCTCCAACAATACAAAATAAAGGTACTAGAAACTATCAAGAAGAAACAAAGGGTTTACCTCACTTGAGAAGTGGGAATCCCAATCCCTAAAGGCTACTGTCAAGTTGGGCACAATAGGAAAAGCAAACCTATAAACCTAGGTAGCTCTCTGGCTCATAGTAGAGGTTATCATTTAAAAATTAAAAATAAGTTAGGCATGGAAGATCATGATTATAATCCAAGAACTCTCAAGGCTAAGGCAGGAGAATCAAGAGTTCAAAGGCAGCCAAGTCCACATAGTGAAATTTGATTAAAAAAAATTTTTTTTTAAGGAGAAAGATGAGTGAACTGGAAGAAAATGAAGAGAAAGAGGAAAGAGGAAGAAGAGCAAGTAGGAAAAGGACAGGAAAGAAGAAGAGGAGAAGGAAGACAATGATGGAGGAGAGCGAAAGGGAGGAAGAGAGGCCAAAACATCTCAAAAGATAAAACCTGCCAGGCACCAATGGCTCAAGCCTGTAATCCTTGCTGCTCAGAAGGCTGAGAGCTAAGACCATGATTCAAAGAAAGCCCAGGCAGGAAAGTCTATGAGACTCCTACCTCCAATAAGGTAGCAAGTCAAGAGCCCTCAGAACAAATCAAATACTATATCACCTTGATCTGGGATTTCTAGCCTGTAGAACACCTCTGTTTCTTAGGCTAAACAGATGATACACACACACTGGCTATTTTTTGAGGCTAGTGAGGGTGGTCATAGGGCTTGGACTCAAGGTTTAGGCATAGTCCTGAACTCTTTTTGTGCTCAAGGCTAGTCTCTACCACTTTGAGCCACAGCATCACTTCTGGCTTTCTGGTGGTTAACTGGAGATAAAGAGGCTGGCTTTGAACCGAGATCCTCTGATCTCAGCCTCCTGAATGGCAGGACTACATGTGTGAGCCACCAGTGCCAGATCACAATGGCTATTTTATGGCAAAATTAGGATTATAGATAGAAATTCACAGGCAATATAAAAAAAGTAAAATAGCAAGAACACTACTAGAAATCTTAACAGTAAAATAAGAATAAAAATAGTACAGATATACAAATAAGGCAGGTAAGCAAGTTTCTAAAAGAAAACCTCATGAGATAGTCAGAAAGCAATGCCAAATACCTAAGAAAGGACCGATACTCAAGCAAGAGAAAGCAAGAAATTTTGCCTAAATATTTCAATTCTACTAAAACAGTTATGAAAATCCAAAAGAAAAAGATAAGGTATGAAAGATTCCAAGGTATCAGCACTGGGAGTTGTCTAATCTGGACTTAAAAAGGATACTTGAGGAAATAAGTTCATCATTCAGTCAGAAGAGCCAGACAAGGTAATTAGGAACCTACAACCCAACACTTGGGAGATTGAGGCAGGAGTCTGAGCTACACAGTGAGACTCACAACTAGAGATGTGGCTCAATGGTAAGAGTGTAAAGCCCTGGATTTGAGCCCCAACACTATCAAAAATGAAAAAACAAAAACAAAAAACATAAAGACAATAATGATATATGTACAGAATACTAAGAGAAAACATTCTGTAAAATAACAAAAGCAATGAGCTTTGAGCTGATAATACATAATGAGCAAATGAAAAAGTGGGCAGCATAAGACATGATTCTTATTTACTTTTATCAAGAATACTGTGCATACTAGAGATTGGAATACTGTATGTATTGCTATACAGTATCTAATTACTTTATGACAGTAAATAACTGTCCCTGCTAGAAATGCAGTTATATACAATGCATAAGAGTGTAGTCTCTGGGGCTGGGAAGGTGGCTCAGTGGTAGTGTGCTTGCCTTACATGCATGAGGCCCTGGGTTCGATTCCTCAGCACCACATAAGCAAAAAGAAAAAAGCCGGAAGTGGCGCTGTGGCTCAAGTGGTAGAGCGCTAGCCTTGAGCTGAAGAGCTGAGGGACAGAGCCCAGGCCCAGAGTACAGGCCCCACGATCGGACCCCCCCCCCAAAAAAAAGAGTGTAGTCTCTGAACCAGACTAAATGGTGGTAGTTTCCAGTGTTGACACTTAACTAGCTTTAAAGCTAAGTAACCCTGAAAGAGTTATTAAGCACCATGTGCCTTAGTTTCCTCATAGGTATTATAATACAGATGACAGTACATATACCTCATTTGTAAGGCTTAAGTAATACACTTAAAACACTAAGAACAGTGGTTGATACATAGTAACTACTAGCAATTATTGTACTGTTCTTTTTTTATCATTATTATCCTGGGAAAGTTATTAATTATTACATTTATTACTATTATTATTACTATTATTATTGTATTACCTAATTTCACTTTTCCTCTGTTCTATAAAATATAAAAATAGGAGCCAGGTGTCAGTGGCTCACACCTGTAATCCTAGCTACTCAGAAGGCTGAAATCTGAGGATTGCAGTTCAAAGCCAGCCTGGGCAGGAAAGTCCGTGAAACTATCTCCAATAAACCACCAGAAAGCTGGAAGTGGTGCTGTAGCTCAAGTGGTAGAGCGCTCGCCTTGAGCTGAAGAGCTGAGGGACAGCACTCAGGCCCAGAGTTCAAGCCCCACCACTCCAGAGTTCAAGCCCCACCACTGACTAAAAAAAAAAAAAAAAGTCAAGCACTAGTGGCTCACCCCAATAATCCTAATACTAGCTACTCAGGAGGCTGAGATCCTAGGATCACAGTTCAAAGCCAGCCCATGCAGGAAAGTCAGTGAAACTCTTATTTACAATTAACTAGAAAACCGGAAGTGGTGCTGTGGCTCAAAGTGGTAGGACACTAGCCTTGAGAGAAAAAAACTCAGGGACCACACTCAGGTCCTGAGTTCAATACCCATGACTGACAAAACAAACAAATAAACAAAAAATATGGTTATAAGAATTAAGGAAAGAATAGAGATTAAGAGGCTGGGAAGGTGGCTCAGTTGTAGAGCGCTTGCCTTGCATGTATAAGGCCCTGGGTTCAATTCTTCAGTGTCACATAAGCAAAAAGAAAAACAAGCCGGAAGTGGCGCTGTGGCTCAAGTGGTAGAGCGCTAGCCTTGAGCTGAAGAGCTGAGGGACAGCACCCAGGCCCAGAGTTCAGGCCCCACGACCGGACCCAAAAAAATAAAAAATTAAAAAAATTAAAAATAAATAAAAGAATAGAGATTAAAATGATTGACAAGATTTGTTTTTAAGTACAACAGAATGTAATACCACAATAGAAGAAAGGCTAGGTCAAAGGAATAAATATGAACACATGTCATATGACACAAGACAAAATTATCTTCATTTTTGGCTATTATCTTCATAAATAGAAGATCATGAGAGTGATCACCAGAGTGATCTATAGCATAAAGTGTCACGTAACAAAAACCAGAAATATTTACCCTAGATAACGATTAAGAGACTGCACTTGTACATGAAAGGGAACACAGTAGCTGTTTTCAAGTGAAAGAATTAAAAAAGAAAAAAAAAAGAATTGATGAGAAAGTAAAGAGTAGAAGTTGGGGATTTAGCTCTGTGGAAGAACACTTGCATAGCAAGTGTAAAGCCCTGAGTTCAGTCCTCATTCTGGAAAAAAAGAAAAAAAAGGTAAAAAGATCACAAAACAAAACAAAACCCAAAGCAATTAGAAAGTAAGTGTAGATAGGAAGCACTCTGTAACAATTTCAGTTGTTGAAGGAATGAACTGATAAATAGTAAGTATCCCATCAAGAAAGAGTGATAACAACCCACTGGGAATTTAAAGAGCAAGGAATTCATGTTTCCAGAAGAAATTTGTTTTTTATTATATAATAAACTAGAATACTTGTACTGTCATAATTTAAAAATTAAAATTAACAATTACAATATTAGTAGCAAGCTGTAGGTCCTGAGTACAAAACCTAATATTGAAAAAAAAAGGTTAAAATTATTATTAGAAAGACGAAACAAAAGTAAATGAACAAGCCAAGATCAAGGTAGCTCATACCTGTAATCCCAGCTCCTTAAGAGGCTGAGATCTGAAGATCTCAGTCCAAAGCTAGCCTAGGCAGGAGAGTCTGTGAAACTCTCATCTTCAATTATCCACCAAAAACACTGGATGTGGAGCTGTGGTTCAAGTGGTAAAGTGCTAACTTTAAGTAAAAAAGTCCAGGCACTGAATTCAAGCCCAAGGACCAGCACAAAAACAAACAAACAAAATCCTATACAAACACAGAATACTTCTAAATCTTGATCAATGGATGTTATTTTTCATACTTTGCTTAAAATTTTTTTTTGGCAGCACTAGATTCAAACCCAGGGAGTCATGCTTGCTAGGAAGATGTTCTACCACTGGAGCAACACACTCAGCCCTTTTGCTTTACTTTAGTTATTTTCTGGGATAGGTTCTCTCTATATTGCCCAGGCTACTGTGGATCATTTCCTATAGGAACAATTGTCTTTCTATTCATGATCATTACCCTAAACAGCTATGATGACAGGTATATGCCATCATTCCCATCTTTTTACTAGTTGAGATGAGGATCCTGCAAACATTTTGGTAAGGCTGGCCTTGAGCACTGATCCTCCTAATCTCTACCCTCCTAAGTAGCAACAATTACAGGCATGAACCATCGAACCTCTCAAGCTTTGTTATAATTTTATTACAACAAAAGCTACACTATAAGACAAAATAGTGTTTTATTTTGCTCTCTCTCTCATAGTAATATTTAATTTGTAATAAAAACTTTATCAATCAAATAATGATCCCCAAAACACCACAAATAGTCATAACAAAATCTCATGATGAGTAACACTCTGCATTTATAAAGTGCATTAAAATTTCTGACACTGCTTTTCAGCCTAGTTGTACCATCAAATCTGAAATTAATTCTGGAATAAAGCACTTGTATTTATTACTGACTACATTCCTTGGGAGTAAATGACACTTAAGCCAGTCAAGTTAGTCTACCATACGAATCTGGAGCATATAACTTGGTCAGTGTTCATTTCATACAATTCATATGCGTCAATACATTTTCATTATACAATGTTAGCATTCAAGAAGATAAAAGAAACCATTATAGCCATACACTAGTGGTTCATGTCTGTAGTTCTAGCTGCTCAGGAGGCTGAGATCTGAGGACTGCAGTTTGAAGCAGACCAGGCAAGAATCCATAAGATTATCTCCAATGAATCAGCCAGAAGCCAGAAGTGGAGCTCTGGCTCTAGTGGGTAGAATGCTAGTGTTGAAGAAAATGTTAAGGGACAGTACAAAGGCCCAAGTTCAAACTCTAGTACTGGCACAAAATAAAATAAAAATCAGCTTCCTAATCAGATGGTATGTAACATTTAACAAGAAAAATTTCCCTTGAAATAAAAGAACTAGAAATAACTCAAGTAAAATAAGGAACATTTTATTTTCCTTTCCATAATTCTATGCTGAAAAAAAAAACAAAGGATAAGTAAATTTGTTTAGTGGAATGTTCATCTTGAATTTCATTAACTATTTAGCACATAATCTTAAAAGGAAAATAACACCAAAATGTAGACATCCCATTAAAATGGACTCTACTAATATCAATTTCTTATCTACTCATGCTTAGAGATAATACGTTTTTAATGTAAGCATGAGATAAAACCTTTACCTTGGGTGTGCTTCCTTTGATGAACTTTTTAATTGAAGACAGTAAGCCGGTTTCATTCTTTGATGGTTTTTCTCCTCCTGAAGGCAGGCTATCATCAACCTCTGAGTATTTCCTTTTTGCTCTGGCAGTGCGCTGTGTTTGAATTTGATTTGATTGCTGAGAAGTCTTCCGCGTTCTCAGCCTCATCTTTTATGGGTGCCACATGTAAAACTATAATAGAAAAATAGCAAAGGCTATTAAAATCCAACCTAGTGCTCCCAAATATGATCAGCTTATATGATAAAAAAAAAAACTTGGTTAGTTAAAATTAAAAAAACCTCAGGCCTCTAAGGAGATTGAAATAAACATTTTAAATGAAAGGCACTATGCTCTGTATTTTACACGCATTATCCCAAGTAGCCTTTCCAATAACCTCTGAAATACTACATCCTACAATTGAGTGTTATACCAAGTAGTGCATGTTTTTTTTTACAACACTAAGATCTGTTGACCCACTCCAAAATTATCATTTGTTTAATCATTCATTTATTCTACAAATATTTAACCACATTTGAGGCACAAGTCTAGGTAAGCACTGAGAAAACAGCAAAGTAGGGAATGGTTGACTTTCTGACCTTACAAAGCAGTGGTGAAAAATATGATTTAGTGAATAATTCCAAAATTTTTTTTTTATTATTTTTTTTTGGGGGGTCCGGTCATGGGGCCTGAACTCTGGGCCTGGGCGCTGTCCCTCAGCTCTTCAGCTCAAGGCTAGCACTCTACCACTTGAGCCACAGCACCACTTTCGGCTTTTTTCTTTTTGCTTATGTGGTGCTGAGGAATCGAACCCAGGGCCTCTGGCATGCAAGGCATGTGCTCTACCACTGAGCCACCTTCCCAGCCCCTAATTCCAAAAATTTAAGTCTAATAACAATCATGTAAGTACAAGAAAAAGCAACTCGTTTATTTTGAGATATTCCAATTTACCATACATAATGATCCATTTTATTGGTCATGGGGCTTAAACTCTGGGACCTAGGCACTGTCCCTCAGCTTTTCAGCTCAAGGCAAGTGCTCTACCACTTGAGCCACAGCGCCACTTCCCATTTTCTGGTGGTTTATTGGAGATGAGTTCATGGCTTTTCCTGCCCGGGCTGGCTTTGAACCTCAATCCTCAGATCTCAGCCTCCTGAGTAGCTAGGATTTACAGGCATGAGCCACCTGCTCCCAGCCATAATGATTCTTTAAAAACTGAATTCAGCCAGGCACTGGTGGCTCACGCCTATAATCCTGTGATACTCAGGAAGGAGATCTGAGGATCTCAGTTTGAAGCCTGCCCAGGCAGGAAAGTCCATAAGAGTCTTCAATACTCAGAAAAAGCCAGAAGTGGTGCTGTAGCTTAGGTAGTAAGAGTGACAACCTTGAGTGAAAGAATCTCAGGAGCCGGGTGCCAGTGGCTCACGCCTGTAATCCTAGCTGTTCAGGAGGCTGAGATCTGAGGATCGAGGCTCAAAGCCAGCCTGGGGAGGAAAGTCCGTGACTTTTATCTCCAATAAACCACTAGAAAACCGTAAGTGGGTACTGTGACTCAAGTGGCGGGGACAGTGCCCAAACCCAGAGTTCAAGCCCCACTACCGACAAAAAAAATTAAAAAAAAAAAGAAAAAAAAGAATCTCAGGGATAGCACCCAGGCCCTGAGTTCAAGTCAAGTCCTAGGACAGGCAAAAAAAAGAAAAGAAAAGAAAAAAAAAAAAAAAAAACACTGGACTCAAGAGCTGGGCCTGGTGGCTCACATCCACAATCACAATTACCTGAGTTGAATCATGGTGCAAGGCCAGCCCAGGCAAAAAGTTATCCAGACTGCATATCTCAACAAATAAACAATAAACTGAGCAAGGTGGCAAGTGCTATAATTCTAGCTACTTGAAGGCTATGACAGCCAGTCCTAGAAAAAACATAAGACTCCATTAAAAAAAAAAAAGAAAAACTAAAACAGAGGACTGGCAGTGTGGCTCAAGTGGCAGAGAGTTTGCCTAGCAGATTCAAGTTCAGCACCAGTACTGAAAAGAAAACAAAGCAAGCAAAACTGGATTCTGGGACCAGAGATGAGGCTCAGTGGAAGAAAATGTACATAGTACTTGGATAGCACACATAAGGACCTAGGTTCAGTTCTCAGCACCACAAAAATCAAGGAAGAACACCACCACCAAAAAAGGCTAGAGTCATATCAAAGAGAAATTACCAAGGCTATTTGAACTACATTTTAGTTACCTATTTGATATGGGTACTTGACATGTTCAACCTTTTCATTATTGCCATTATACCCTAAATGTATAACTACTTACATAGCAAGTAATCTAAAGATGATTTAAAGAATATAGGGGGATGTCTGCAGGTTAAAGAAAATGTGACACTATTTTATTTAGTAGATTCAAATGTTTATGGATTATGATACCTGTGGAGGGATCCTGGAAGCAGTCTTCCACATTTACCTTAATATCTTGAGAAGATATGAAGTTGTTTACAATAGTGGTCAATTACATAAAAAGGTCTCTAAGCACCTTAAAACTCCTAAAGGTATAAAAATTCCTAGCAAATATTAGAAAATCTTCACTGGTAAGTCTCAGATGGTATGTTTTTACTAGTTTTAACAGTCACAGGGAAAAAAATTTTTTTTTAAATAACAGAAATTACAGCTGGGCACTGATGGTTCACTCATATAATCCTAGCTCCTCAAGAGGCTGAGATCTGAGAATCACAGTTCAAAGCTGGCCCAGGCAGAAAAGTCTATGAGACTCATCTCCAATAAACCACCAGAAAACCAGAAGCGGTGCTGAGGCTCGAAGTGGTAGAGTGCTAGCCTTGAGCAGAAGAACTCAGTGGCAGTGCCCAGGCCCCGAATTCAAGCCCTACAATAACTTCCCTTCAACAGAATGTTTGGTCTCCCCTAAATCCTATGCTAAAATATAATCCCTATATGATAATTGGCCTTTGTGAGGCAATTAGATCATTGCTTTGTCATCATGAATTGGATTAGTGCCATTATAAAAGAGAAAGGTAAAGGCATGTATCAGACCCAGGGTTACATATTAGATGCTAAATTTGCTTGCACCTTGGTCTTAAGAATTCCTACCATACAGAATCCAAGAAATAAATTTCTGCTGTTTATCAAATACTCGCCTAGATTATTTATGTTTTAGAAACTGGTATGGACCAAGATCCTGCCAAATTTGAAAGAATTACCAGATAAGTCTCCATTTTCTAAATAACGTTTTTTTCCCTTAACTAGGGAGTTTTTATCTGCCTTTTTAAAATTTGATTTTTTTTTCTAGAATTAAAAGGGATTTATCAAGCAAGGCATCTATTATTTACTATTTATAGAGGAAATTTTTTACTTAAAATTTCTTTTTTCGGGGCTGGGAAGGTGGCTCAGTGGTAGAGTGCTTGCCTTGCATGCATGAAGCCCTGGGTTGGATTCTTCAGCACCACATAAGCAGAAAAGGCCAGGAGGGGGCTGAGGCTCAAGTAGTAGAGCGCTAGCCTTCAGCTGAAAAGCTGAGGGGCAGGGCCCAGGCCCAGAGTTCAGGCCCCAAGACCGACCAAAAAAAAAAAATTAATTTTCTTTTTCTTCAGTGTAGAACTCCCTAGAAAAGGAAAATTCGTACGTAGCAAATATATGAAGATAATTAATGGAAATCAAAAAACTTATAAAATAACACATAGATACAAAGTAGGTATTAAAAGACTAAAGAAAATGACTGAAGACATGTAAAATAGTCCAGTCTTAGGGGTTCAACCCATTAAAACTTAAAATACTGGGCTAGTAGTATGCCTCAAGTGGTAGAGTGGACATCCTTAGGAAGTGTGAGGCCCTGATTTCAAACCCTAGTACTACCAGAGAGAAAAAACAAAATTAAAATATTGATTGGTCACCTGCTGCCAGAATGGAAACAAAGGATGCACAGAGACTTCAAAAGACATAGGCTGTGTACCAGTGGCTCACACCTGTAATCCTACCTACTTCAGAGGCTAAGATCTGAGAATCGCTGGTCAAAGCCAGCCCAGACAGGAAATTCTGGGAGATTCTTATTATTAAAAAAAAAAAAAGTAGAGTGGTGACTCAAGGTAAAACATTGCCCTTGGGCAAAAGGAAGAAAATTCCAATTAGATTACACCTGTAATCCCAGCTTTGAAGATTTGAGGAAGGTGGAGTTGGAAAGATCATTGTTAGAAGCTCAATATAAAAAAACAAACAAACAAAAAAACCACTCAGGCCTAGTGGCACATACCTGTTTGTCCCACCAATATGGGAAGATCATGATCCAGGGCCAATCAAAAAGTATAGATGCTCTTTGCCAGCTGTACACATGACAAAGGCCAACTATAAAGCTCAAGAACTAAACTCAAGAGCTCAAAAACTAAACCAATTAATAAATGGGCCAAGGAACTAAAGAGAGACTTCTCAGAAGTAAAAATAGCCAATGAACAAACAAAGAAAAGCTCGACATCTCTGGCCATAAAGGAAATGCAGGTCAAAACAATACCGAGAAGCTGGGTGCCAGTGGCTTAGGCCTATAATCCTAGCTACTCAAGAGGCTAAGATCTGAGGACTAAGTTCAAAGCCAGCCTGGGCAGGAAAGTCTGTGAGACTTTTATCTCCACTAAACTACACACACACACACACACACACACACACCACACACACACACACACACACACACACACACACACACACACAAAGCGCCAGAAGTAAAGCTGTGGTAGAGGACTACTCTTGAGCAAAAGGCCCAGGACTGACACCATGCGCGTGGGCTCACACAAACACACACACCAACAACATTGAGATTCTATCTCTCTTCAATAAGAATGACCATCATGAAACACTGAACAATAAATGCAGGTGGGGATATAAGTAAAAAGCAATCCTATTATGTTGTTGGTAGGGATCTAAACTAGTGCAACCACTGTGGAAGACAGGGGAGATTCCTCAAAAAAATAAGAAAACTACCTATGACTTTTAACACTCATGTTCACTGTCACACTGTTCACCATTGCCAAGTTATAGACAGCCCACATGCCCTACAGTGGACGAATGGATCAAGGAAAATGATATATATGACACAAAATGAAATTTTACTCATCCATCAGAAAGAATGTCATTTGTAGGAAAATAGATTTGGAAAAAGTATGTTAAATGAAATAAATCAGGCTCAGAGAGACAAAAAGCACGT